CTAAAATCATCTTGATTTCTCCTGTCTATCTCCATGCCCCCTCTGCAGATCACTGACAAAGACTTCTCCGAGTTCAGCACCATAGGAAGGCGTGGATCAGGAATTGGCGGGTTCCGCTACCCATATGGTGTTGTCCAAGTGAACCACAGCGCACTGGGCCAGTGCCTTGCTGTGACTGATGCAGGGAACCATCGGGTTCAGGTAATAACCAGACAGTACACACTGTACATGTACAGTTGTATTGTGTAAAATCCCTCTCCTACCCACTAACAGTGTACTGTGGTATACATAAAGATAGAACTAGCCTATATCACTGTTCAGTATCAAGTTGTGGGACTGTTTTCAATCATGTAACAGCAGATGAAGAATATACTCTTAACACAGTACAATCCCGGTTGATAATTTTAGGATGGAAGTCGATTGTAACATAATTATGCATTGGTAAGCATGCATGTGTGTGTGTGTGTGTGTTGGGAGGGGGGGGGGTGGAGGGTGAGTGCATGTTTGATGGGTGTGTCAGCTAATTCTGTTGGTGGGTGCTCTAAAGCCAGATTGTGACTGCGTGTGTTGCCATCTACTATACATGTATTACAGTATTACGTTCACTGGGGGGGGGGGGGGAGGTAAGTGCTGTTAAACCCTTTTCTGCACCATGTCCTAAACCACTCACACATGTGTGGTGAGCCTATAAGTGGAATAATTTCCAAGTCCACCCAGAGTTAGTCGATTTCAGTATATCTGCCGTTGGATGGTTCGATAGCCAATCCCTCGCCCTTCAAGCTTTGGAAATGAGCATGTAAAAGGACAAGCGCATTGGTATGCAGCTCGGGTATGATGTGACGTGTGTGGGTGGAGCCGTTTGAGTGTGGGTGAGCGGGTCCATTTGGCTGGTGTTTGTGTGTGGGGGCTTGAGGGTGTGTACACGATTGTATGTGTGTGTGTGTGTGTGTGTGTGTGTGTGTGTGTGTGTGTGTGTGTGTGTGTGTGTGTGTGTGTGTGTGTGTTGAGTTGAGTCTCTTGAGGTCAGTTTGATCTTTTGAGGCTCTGTCTAGTTCCCGTCTTCTACTTACTTGGAGCTCTCCCTAAGTTAGTTCTCGCCCCCCAGGGCTCTCCTAGCCTTGCTAGGAGAGCCCCTGGCGTCCAGATAGAAATACAGGTCGGAGAGGCTCACGGCGCGTCTTCCAGGACAATTTAAATTTTGATATTGTCACTGGCGCGCCGCTCTCCCTCCTCCATCCGCAGTGGGCTAGCTACCCCTCGGATGTCGCCTCTACCATCCTCAGCTTTTCAGCAACCAGAAAACGGGCGATGTCGTCGCAGGCAGGATCCCCCCAGCAGAAGCGATTCTCTACTAAAATTCGCTTCGTGGAATGTCAGAACTCTCGTGAATGCTGACGGCCCAATCGAAACTGCTGCGTCTGGACATAGAGTAGTCGAGGACAGGAAGATCAATACTGTCATAAATGAGCTGAAGAGACTCGACATCGAAGTGGCTGGACTTCAGGAATCGAAGTGGTTTGGAGCTGAGATCTACAATGTCGCGGATTCGATCGTGTTGTCGTCTGGACGTCCCGTACCATCTGAAAATTTCAAACGCGGAGAAGGAGTCTGCATCGTCCTGAGAGGCCGTGCACGGAACGCTTTCTCGGCAGGAGGAAACCAATGGACGGCGGTATCGTCGAGAATTGCACAATGCAAGTTGAAGTTTGTCCACCACGGAAACAAAAACACCTGGATCAATGTGATTGCATGCTACGCTCCAACTTTCAGATCAAGTAGGGAGTCCAAAAATGAATTTTTTGCATCCTGCAAGCGAGCGTAAACTCAGTGCCACCAAGTCAACAATTGATTATCCTTGGCGACTTCAATGCACGCGTTGGTCTCATCCAGAGTGCTGATCCATGGTATGGGACTTGTGGAGATAATGGGATAGGGGAAACGAACCACGCTGGACTGGAACTGCTCCAGTTCTTGACATGCAACAGCCTCACTGTGTGCAACACCTGGTTTGCCAAGAAGCGTATCCACAAGTATACATGGCAGCACCCACGGTCGAAGAAGTGGCACTGTATCGATTAGGCCATTGTCAGGCGGCAAGATCTGCTAGCCTGCACAGACTGCCGCGTTATCCGTAGTGCGGAGTGTAGTACCGACCACAATCTTGTATGCTTATCGTTCTGTCTGTCGTACACCGTCAACTTTCGCACCGGAGTAGCACGGCGTTCACGCTTTAATATCCAAGCTCTCATGACCCGCCCTGGTATGACTGACGAACAATCTAACGCCGTGCAGGCTACTCGGCTCCAATTCGCCTCCGGTGTGCAACACCATCTGCAATCGTCTGGGCCAGCTGATACCGTTCATGCCAAGTGGTCGGCATACAAATCTGCCTTGACCTCCAGCGCTGAGGCACACCTGGGCAAACCCGTTCGACTACAACCAGACTGGTTCCTAGCAGCAGCAAACATCCTCCAACCTCTTTTTGCTGAGCGCACACGCCTCCATCAACAGTGGCGTCAATCAGAGCTGCCAGCGGACCACCGCCGCTTCCTCGATGTCCGAGGTAGATGTCGTACCGCAGTTGGTGCAGCGAAGAGTGCATGGTTGGAGCAGAGAGCTAGCACTGTGGAGCGTGGCAAATTTAGTGGTAAGCACGTTTGGTCCGCTATCCGAGACATTCAACGGTGCTATTCAGGACTCCGATCCGTCACCATCCATCCGGTCCGTAATGCTGAGGGCATAGTTTGCACGTCTTTGGAGGAGCAGGAAGACTGCTGGTCCACTCACTTCTCGAACTTGCTCAATGTCCCCAGTACCTTCAATGCCTCCACCGTTACTAACATCCCTCAACGTGAGCCTGACGAGTCTCTGGCAGTCACACCAACAATGGAAGACCTTGTCGTCGCCATCAGACACCTTGCAAATGGCAAAGCTGGAGGTTCCTCGCGTATAGTCCCCGAGCTTGTGAAAGCAGGTGGCCATGATTCCCTGGATGCATTGCTGGATCTCGTCCAACTTGCTTGGACGACGGCCACTGTTCCGCAGGAATGGCGCGATGCCGAGTTGGTTCCTGTTCCCAAGAAGGGCGACCTGTCCAAATGTGATAATTGGCGGGGTATTGCCCTTCTTGATGTTGTTGGCAAGGTGTGTGGCCGCATGATTCAAGATCGCCTGCAGTTGTTGGCTGAGTCGGAACTCCCAGAGTCCCAGAGCGGCTTTCGGCCAGGCAGGGGCTGTGTTGATGCCATCTTCTCGCTCCGCCAGCTAATCGAGAAAGCATACGAACATCGTCAGCAGCTCTTCTGTGTGTTTGTGGATTTGAAAAAGGCGTACGATTCTGTACCACGCGCTGCTCTCTGGGTGGCCTTGGGCCGACTTGGGGTCCCGCAACAGCTAGTGGCCCTGATTAAGGCTTTCCACACCTCTACCTCTGCCTCGGTCCGAGTTGGCAACTCCACCTCTGATGAGTTCCCTGTGGTTAATGGTCTCCGACAAGGATGTGTCATGGCACCCGTTCTCTTTAACCTGTACTTCGGGGCGGTTGTTGAGACATGGCGTGCCCGGCTAAAGGATGCAGGTCGTAGTCACTCTGTCAGCATCCAGTTTTCCATCGATGGCCAACTCTACCCCCGCTCATGATCGCGCAGGGCTGGCGAGTCACTGTATGTTAGTGACCTGGAGTATGCTGATGATGCCGTTCTCGTGTCTGAATGCCGTAGTGATGCTGAGTTTGGTGTGGAGCTCTTCTGTAGTGTTGCCCGAGAATTTGGACTAACTGTGAGCATCGCCAAGACGAAGATCATGACGGCGGGCCATGGGGTCTCTGCTGAAGACTCGGCTGACATCGTTCTCCCCCTTGGCACTATCGAAGCCGTGCCGAAGTTCACCTACCTAGGATCCATAGTGACCCCTGACAGTCGTTCTTCATCAGACATCAAGCGCCGTATTGCCGAAGCCTCAAAGGCCTTCGGAGCCCTCCAGAAGGTATTCACTGACAGATCTCTGTCCCTCTCTAGTAAACGCCACCTGTACATGGCCTGCGTTTCCTCAATTTTACTGTATGGCGGAGAGTGTTGGACCCCACTCCAACGGGATATCAGAAGTTTGGATAAATTCCACCATCAATGCATCCGGACTGTCCTCAGCATCACCAAGCCTCGTCAGTGGTCCGAGCGGCTGTCATCCACAGACCTGCGGAACCGTTGGGGAGACCCAGTACTGATGTCTACACGCCTCCGCAATCGGCGTCTGGAATGGACTGGGCACGTTGCGCGTATGGATGAGGATCGCACCCCCCTCCAACTCCTCTTTGGGTGGCTACCTGTGCCTCGGCCGTTTTGTGGTCCCCGGCGACGGTGGAAAGACACGGTGATGACCGACCTCAAGGTTGCACTGCAACAGCCATCTCAGTGGTTCATCCTTGCTCAGGACCGCCAACAGTGGAGGGAAGTACGGGTTGCCCCTCAGTCGAGCTCCACCATGCCCAAGTCTGTGCATTGCGCAGTGTGTGACCGGAACTTCTCACGGGTCTCAGATAGAACGCGGCACAAGTGCACCACTCAGAGACAGCTTCCCATCCAGCTCCAGCGTGGCTCAGTGCAATGCCAGAACTGCCAGAGGTGGTACCGCAGCAAGGGTGGCTACTCTGTTCATCGATGCCAGCCTGTCACGAGTTCTCCTACACCAACAGTCAGTCTGTCTGTGCCACTTTCAGCTTGTTGCCAGCAGCACTGCCCAACATGTCAGCGATGCTTCCGTTCTGCGGCCGGGTTCAAGCGTCACAACTGCAATCGTGGTGCGAGACCATCTGCTGCTGAGAGAGCAGCTCTGCCCCTCAGCTGCCCACGTTGTAAACGCAATTTCCGCCGGCAGCAGGACCTAGCCAGACATTCGCGGTCCTGCTTGTGATCCGTGTCCCGTTTTCTGGTCCCCTTTCCATAGGGGTGACACTTGCCCCTCTGGGCAGTCATGCTGCTAGTAGTAGTAGTAGTGTGTGTGTGTGTGTGTGTGTCCCATATGGTGTAGTGGTATGTGCAGTGATTTCAAATCGATAGGTTGTGGGTTCGATTCCTGACGATTATGGTCACACACGTCTTTCTTCTCTTTCTCAGACCCCTTCTGATTTTCCTTTCATTCACCTGGGTGGTTACCAACAGCCAGTGAATGCCGGAGTATGCGGTGTGGTGAGTGTGCGGGAAAAAATGAAAAAAGAACAAAAAGTAGGGATTCACTGGCTAAAAAAGCCACTTCGTAGCTGTGTGGTGTAGACCAGGCTGAAAAGTGGCGGTCAATTCTTCAGCCTTGCAAGCTGTTGAATGGTGCAATCCCAGCACAAGTTGCTATGGCTTCTGCTGTAGCATCGCTATCGTCAAATGGTCAAATGAGGAGTTTGTGCCTGTGCACTGTGTGTATGTGCGGCATGTGTATGAGTGTGTGTGTGTGTGTACGTACGTGCGTGTGTATGTGTGTATGTTTGTGTGTGTGTCGCATATGGTGCAGTGGTATGTGCAGTCGATTTCCAATCGAGAGGTTGCGGGTTCAATTCCCGATGATTATGGTCGCACCCGTCTTTCTTCTCTTTCTCATTCTCCTAGCTCTTCTTTCAATCTCCTGGGTGGTTACGAACAGCCAGTATATGCCAGAGTATGTGGTGTGGCGTGTGTGTGTGTGTAAAAAGAAAAGAAAAATAGGGATTCACTGGCTAGAAGAAGCCACTTCAATCACCTGTGTGGTGGATACCAGGCTAATAATTGGTGGCGGTAAATTCATCCGACTTGCAAGCTGTTGAATGGTGTAATGCCAGCACAAGTTGCTATGACTAGCATAGCTGTTCGCTATTATCGCTATCATCGCTTCCGCGATGGGCATGTCTGAGGTCTGAGGTGTGTGTGTGTATAGGTGTGTATGTGTGTATATGTGTGTGTGTGTGTGTGTGTGTGTGTGTGCGTGCATGCGTGTGTGTGTGTATGTGCAAGCATATTTTGGTGGGGTGTGTGTGTGTGTATACTAACTATGTGTGTGCGTGTGTGTGTGTGTGTGTGTGGGTGTGTGTGTGTGTGAGTGTGTATGTGTTCATGTGTGTGTGTGTGTGTATGTATGAATATGCATGAGGGTTGCATTGGCATACTGGTACTTGACTACACGTCTGTTTGTTAGAAAACTTCATAAAGTTCTATCACAGCCAAACCACCAAATCTAGTTGTAAGTTGTCTACTTCAGGTACTAATGTATTACATATCTCACAGGTTTACACACACTAGAGAGGAATCAAAAGCGTTTCTGCTGTAACTCTGAGTTTCACGGTTTTAATCGATCATCAGACAATAACTCACAGGTGTATATTCTTCTATGTACACTGGTACTGTACAGATTGTGCCATGCAGTGGTGAGACAGGATATGCGTTTGGAACATATGGTAGTGGTCAAGGCCAATTTCAATTTCCAAGAGGCATCGCAGTGTACCACAACAGGTTGTTTGTTGCTGACGAGGACAACCATCGCATCCAGGTATGTTATCATGTTAATCTGGCAACAACGTCAACAATGATGCCGAATACGACAACAACCGCAATGACAACGACGGCAACAACGATGATGACGACAGAGACGACGGAGACAACAACAACAACAACAACAACAACAACAACAACAACAACAACAACAACAACAACAACAACAACAACAACAACGACGACAAAAACGACAATAACGACAACAGCGACAACAACGACAACAGCGACAACAACAACAACAACAACAACAACTACTACTACTACTACTAAAACTACAGTACCGGCAACTGAAATCCGACCCCTGGGCGGTGGGTTCACATTCTAGCGGTCTCTGTTTCGTAGTTTTACCATCCCGTGTAGGGTCTTTGCAATGTGAGCATTGTGAGCTCAGGGGGTCGGATTTCATTTGCCAGCACTGTAGTCCAGCAGCAGCAGCAGCAGCAGCAGCAGCAGCAGCAGCAGCAGCAATGGAAGCAGTAGCAAGTTCAGCTTTATATCGTTGTGACAGGTCTTTGTAGGTGGTTGTTCCAAACTTTGATGCTTACACTTCATTCTGATTGACTTGACACTTGACTGACTCATGACTGCCGTCTAGAGCCCATGAGCAGCAAGTGGAATGTTTGACTCGGAAAATCTGCAAAAAAGCGCCACCCTCTGCTATATGCAGCGTTCCGGGGAATTCCCCCTAGGGTTCCCAGTAAAAAGGCAACGCCTGTTGAGAGTTCCCTTGTTAAATAATAAATTCTACTACTACTACACCCTGTATCAGCTGAGCTTCAGAACGTTACGGTAATCTGTGCTCTGAGAGCTCTGCAACATGTGTTGCTCTCTGGCAAGAGCCGAGATCCAAAGTTTGGAGTAGCCACCTTCTTCAATTATATCCACTGAAATTGCAACATCTACATGTAGATCTGGAATTATATTGTTTCTTTTTTGCATGTCTAGTGTGCATGAGACTTTACTGGTATTGACAACCCATCTATCGGAATATACACTGGACAGGGTCGGGTAGGAAATTTTTCATGTAATCAGAAATGAATGTGTACGTCATGCAAGTGCTTGATGGCCATGTTCGCCTGTTACTTGTCCTTTTCAGTGTCAGAGTGTATAGGCTGATGTGAAGTTAGACTCTTAAACATCATGTCTATACATCATGTCACAAACCAAACAGTGTCTGTGCTACAATAAATACATACATAGTAGTCAAATGTTGGTGCCAGGTCCATGTTTTACCTCAGGTTTTGAGTTTTTACAGTTGCACACCAGTAACCTTATCATCACTACAGTCATAATGATAGTAGCTTTGCACTGTGTGTTGGAGTATTATTCTTACACTCCTGTTATATCTATACTCTTGCTGTCACCACAGTGGTGTGTGTGAATGTTCAATTTATTTATTCCTGCAAAAGGTGATGACCGTCGATGGAGAGTATATCACTTCGTTCGGGTCAAAGGGCAGCTCTTTTGGTCAGCTGCAGAGCCCGTATGGTGTCACTACAGATGCCTACGGCAATGTACTAGTCGCAGATCGTGGCAATGGACGTGTTATGGTAAGGAAAAGCTTGTTGTCGTGTTCTTCTTTCTAAATACCTACAGGCAGAGAGTAGTACCCAGTACATATACAACAGTGGAGCATGGTCAGTTTGTTGCTAGTCTGTGATTCATGGTCAGTACAATCATCAGACAACACTGATATGAACACAGAAAGTGATGTACACTGCATGCACAGAGTACAAGTAAAGCAAGAGTACATTAGCTCTTACAGTTCCAAAAACAAGGGTACATTCTACTCTTCTACTACTTTCTTGTATAAAAGTGTGTCTCACATGTAAGCTTGCAATGAATACTAGTAGTAGCATGATTTGCAAAATGGTACCTCTGGCACATATGCTTTAGGGTTTACCTAGTGTACATGCATACTCAGACTGTGTGGAGTGCTGAATGTCTGGAGAACAGAGCAAGGAATACAGTGGACACACATCAATGCTACAACCAAGTCCGGGACGTACTGTAGCTGTGTTCTTACTGTATGCTTGGCTTGCATGTTGACATTTAGAGAAATGCCTAATTTAATATACGTGCCATGTTGTGGTGGATTCAGTTTACGCCAATGGAAAAGGACGGTGTTTGAGGTAACGTTACTGATTCCCTGACCGAAATTGTCTCCATGTTGCTGGTTTGATGCATATTCATCTTTCAATGAATGTAAACATACTTCAGAAGTAGCAAAGTGGTTTACACACCTAGCAGTAATACATCCAAAGAGAAGCCGGTGTGCCTTATACTACGATGGTCAAATCAACAGTAGTAAATGAGAAAGATGTTTCTATTTGGTGCCAAACAATTCAAATTGTTCAGATGGGGCTTTTTTCCTATCCGGCTTATACTCTAGTGTGGCTTATACTCCAGCGTGGCTTATACTCCAGTGTGGCTTATATTCCAGTGTGGCTTATACTCCAGTGTGGCCTATAGTCCAATGTGGCTTTTTACCCAGTGCGGCTTACACTCCAGTGTGGCTTATACTCCAGTGTGGCTTATACTCCAGTGTGGCTTATACTCCAATGTGGCTTATATACTCCAGTGTGGCTTATACTCTTATACATCATTCATACATCAACAATGCACATCAATGCATCACCATGCATCAGCCATTTATAATACGTGTTATTCATGTACGCTCACCTGTGTTGTCCATGTTCTCTGCAGGTATATGCCGCAGAAACTTACACACCACTGGCTGAGTTTGGAAAAGGAGAGCTGAACATTCCGTCAGGAGTCTGCGTGACAAGTGAGGGCTTAGTAGCTGTTACCTCTCTCCGTAATCACAATATTTTCGTGTTTTGAAGGTTTTTTGTCAGACACCTGTCATCAGTCACCTGCTCACACTTTTGTATGCATCATAACATAAATGACCATAGCGTGACACAAACTGTTCTTGTATCCCATCCTACTCCTCTACCCCCCCCCCCTCCCCAAAACACACACACACACACACACACACATACACACACACACGCACACATTAACACAACCCCTTAGTTGTACATACTCAATCATTTTCAGTTGTCTTTTCTACACTTCTCGTTGAGAATATTGTTGTCCTCCCCCTCATCCGCTGCCTTGCTTGGTGACATGTTCTATCTTACAGCACTCTCACATGAACTGAACGCATCTCACGTACTTTATACCACAGTACTTCGATTTCCTTAATGGATTAGGTAGATGCCGCAACAGTTATTCCACACCAGTTATTCTTAGGTAGCTTCTCGTTCCCGGTGTTTATTAACCCGGTTATCTCAGAAAAGAAAGTTTGCAATTGCTAGAATACTATTTGTGTCCAGTGGTGGATATATTTTTGCTTTGGTTCTTTCCTCTTCATTTTAATCCTTGGCTCCCCATCTGAGTTCATTATACATTATCTGTAGGTTGTAAAAATTCTGTTTTTTTTTTAAATTTGGTAGTCGGATTGTTTTCTCGCAGATCAATCATATGATTAGGATATCTATGCAACAGTTAGTTTGAATTGTTCACATGGAGATCACGTTTTCCTTTTGCTGATTCTGTCGACTCACGTGGTTGGTGTTTATGGTACATGGTGCTTGTGTGTGTGTGTGTGCATGTGTGTGTGTGTGCGTGCGTGCGGCGAGCGTGTGTGTGTGTGTATGTGTGTGTGTGTGTGCATGTATGTTTGTGTGTGAGGGTCCGTGTGTGTGTATGTATGCGTGTGCGTGTGTGGTTGTGTGTGTGTGGCTACAACAACCCACTGCATAGCTACGTGATGTAGACCACTGAGGCTGGATAGTTGAGGTCAATTCTTCAGCCTTGCAAGCTGTTGAGTGGTGCAATCCCCGCACAAGTTGCTATGGCTTCTGCCGTAGCATCGCTATCATCGCCTCCAGCGATGGGCGTCGAAAAGTCAAAGGTGTGTGTGTGTGTGTGTGTTGGGGGGGGGGGGGGGGGTGGGTGTTTGTGTGTGTGTTGGAGGGGGGGGGGGGTTGTTTGCTTGTATGTGTGTATGTGTGTATGTGTGTTGATACTGTTGAAAATACCGTGCAAGGTACCAGTGTTTGTATTATTGTTTTCTTCCATTAATGCAGTATCCTGTGTATAGCGGTGACCTCATAACGTGAACAGCATCCATACTGTATAGATAGTACTGTTTTGACCATAGCAAATTCAACTCCTGATATAACCAACACCATTGTACAGGAGAATTACTTCTCTATAGGCGAGGTTCTTTATAACCGAAATGCACTCACACCATGCAAGCAACACAGCATGTAGTCCATGACAGTATGATTGGTTTAATATGTGAGACATTGCACTGCCGGACGGGCAATGTAGTTAACATGCCGTCCCACAAGATGAAGAGATATGGTGGTTCCTTATCAACGAAAATTATTTGATATACTATAAAAGATCAATTTTTTGTATGGGTTTAACCGTTTAAACAGGGACGTGGACTCTGATTCGCTATAATCACGAAATTCGCTACGTGCGAGTTCGCTACAAGTGGAGTCGATTGCATTCTGATATATTCCGTGTGGTGTACAGCTTGTTTGTATTGGGGACGAATTATCAAAGCTGCGCCTTTCATGTATGATAGTTTCAATAGTTTGTGTAGTATTTGTCAGTTATAGTAGTCCGCAAAGCTGCTTTTCTAATTCCCATTATGATTAGCATGCAATGTACTACCCGAAGTACTGAATTTACTTCTTCTGTACTCTATATTCTAATGTATCTTCTACCTCTTCTCCCGTACGAACATACTTTCTCATTTTCCATGCTTACTTAGGAACCTCCCTTCGATAGGTATCTATTTGCCCCTGGAGGATCCGTGAAATAAAATCAATCAGTCAATCAATTAATCAATGTGGATTGGGTGGGACAGGGTTACGTATTGCTCTTATCACCCAGAGCCCAATTGGCAAGGCCCCGGTCATGCGCCAAATGAACAATATCATGAACGAGAGACAATGGTAAATACTAAAATACCTCAGTTAAAACTCTCTGATATGCCCTGTACAATCATGTACATGCATGATCTTATCATCTTAGGGGTTAACTACACATTCTCACAGCTCTCTTCCAGATGAGTCAAAGAAAATGAGACTCTTACATCAAAATTACTACGTTTCCTCGTCCTGGCTTGGTTGAGCACTCCTTCTTGTTAGCGTCAATGTGATAATTATGCCCTCGTGCAAAGCTCGCTGTGTTTATCGCAGGTAGAGCACTCTGACATTGATTCTTTGCCCCTCTCTCTTTCACTCTCCTCCTCCCCCCCCCCCCCTCACTACGTCTGAGGTCTGCTGAGGAGACCTAACATTAGGCTAACAAGGTCTAAACAGCTAACTGTCTGGTGATTAGTATTATTTGACAAGTTCCTGTACAATATGTACATGGTATTCAGTCATGTACAGTCATGTACATGTACTGGAGTATCCTGATGACAGGGTACCACCTGCTGGAGGCACATTGAAACCCGTGTTCCTGATTGCAACCGGAGACAGGTTGGTATAGGATCCCGGTCCTCCGACTACTATGTGAACCGCGTGGAGGCATGTCCCGGTTAACCCCGATTCGTCCTCTGTTGGGACCAGGGAGTTGTAAAGACACCACACAACTACCTGTCCTGCTCGTGATATGCTGTCATCATCATACATGTACCGGTACCTGGTAAACTATCAAGTCAGGTGTATCGTCAGGCTCTCGTGCTCTATGGGACGGCATCTTGCCCCTAAGGCCTTCCTACTTCTCAACAAATACAGTGTACGTTCTATCTTCCTTAGATCTCGGGTGTTGTGCCAATATTATTATGTAAAGAGAAAAGACCAATAAGTTACGTGTTATGACTAACACTACAGTCCACCAAAGTAACGACATCTTATACAGTTAGATAGTGCTACAACAAGGCACAAAACTGAAAAAGGGTATTGAGACATTCAACGATATTACACCTAGCTCCCTCTCTCTCTCTCTCTCTCTCTATCTATCTCTATCTCTCTCTCTCTCTCTCTCTCTCTCTCTCTCTCTCTCTCTCTCTTCTCTCTCTCTCTCTCTCCTCTCTCTCTCTCTCTCTCTCTCTCTCTCTCTCTCTC